TCCCCCAAGATGTAATTCATGCAAAGTTGCTATTTGTTTAAATAAGTTATAAAAGTTGATACCTCAGGCTAGAAGAAGCTGTAGTCTTGGTTATTCTTTAGTTGGCAGGCACTGTACATACATACCGGGTACAGACACATGCCAAATCTGCTTTGCATTGCTTTTTGCATTGTACAATTCACAAATCTGACATCATTAAAGCAGTTAATTACCTTTGATGGAAGGCTGCAGTGAGGCCATCTACATGTATCAAACAAGCAGCTGGTTAAGATAATAAGTACGCTCCCCTCCCACCCCAGCGCTCCCCAAAACGCTAATGTCTGTCACACGTCCCTTCCCTGAAGTGGTTAGATTTGGTGGCGCACATTAATGTGCAAATGCGTTGCCATGGGAACTGCAGCCTCCATTACGCCTCGACAACACCATTCAGCAAAAGCCAAAACTAAAAACAATAACAACAACAAAAAACACCCTTTAAAAATAATAATAAAAAACCCCCCAAACAAACAAACAAAAAAAAAACCCCAAAAGGCAGCAAAGAGAAAGTCCAACGCACATGCGGAGTCTGGCCCAGGACTGCAGGCTACGCGTGGCTATGGAACGGCGTGGGAGATACGTAGGATTGGTCTTAACTTCACGCTATGGTACAACGGGGCTCAGAGTTCAGCGGATCCGAGTCTGTGCTGGCAAAGGAAGGAGCGGGGGGGGCTGGGAGGGAGGAACGGAGCGGAGTCGTGTTTACCGGATGCACCCAGGGTCTCTCAGACATTTGGCAGAATGAGGCACACCCAAAGAAAAGTGCAACACCAGTGCCGCGGCGGCGGTGCGATGTGTCGGAGTGCGTGCACGCGCTTTCCTCTTCATGCATTGTAGCAAGCGTGTGGGGGCAGGGGCAGGGGGTCGCCCCCACCTTTTCTCTGAACACTATCGACCAGTAAATAACGGTAAGACGAATGCATATTCTACTTACTGGTGCGTGAAATACTGAAAACTGCATTCAAGTAATATTTCTGCACTATTATGGACGCATCGCTATGTTATCTTACATTTGGAAAAGGAGAAGACTATGTACACCAGAGCGGTGGTACTACGTTGCGGTCACGTCTCTGTGCTTTACGGAGGTACCTGGGAAGGAGAGGCCGCCGGTCCGCTCCACTCTGCCCCAACGGGTCGCCGGACTCCCAGCACCACCACCTACAGCATGCGAGGAAGGAGCGCTGCTCGGCCGGATGATCGAGCTGCACGGAGCAAACCAAAAGATGACGTGAGGGAACAAAAACTCAACCCAAACTTGGCAAATCAACAGTGACGAGAAATCGAAGGGCAATTTATTATTTTTGAAGGGAGGAGGAGGGGAAAAAATTTTTTTTTCGTTTGGTTGGTTGGGTTTTTGTTTTATTCTTCCCGCAGCTGCAGGCGGTAGCGGTGGTAGCGGAGCTGGAAAAACATTCTCTCCAGTAAGGAGCGTGTCATCCCTGGCAGGGCGTAATGTTCGACAACACCCACGTGCTTGAACCCCAAGGACTCGTAGAGCTTGTGGGCTGCCATCTTTACGGCCGTGGTCCCCAGCACGACGGAGGAGTAGTTGTTGAGCATGGCGAACTCCAGCACTTTGCGGCCCAGGGCCTTGGCGATCCCTTTGCCGCGGTAGTTGGAGTCGACGGACATGCGGCGCAGCTCCACCGTGTTGTCTTCCTCGTTGCCCCGTGCTGCCACGATCCCCACCACATTGCCGTCCAGGACGGCAACCCAGAAGCAGGAGCCTGCGGGAGATAAAGCAGCACGTGTAAGCCCCGTCCACCCCGGGTGGGCAAGGCAGGCAAAGCGCCTGTTGACAAACACAGCGATGGGAGCTGGGCTTGGGGTCAGAAATCCCCTCTCTGGCACACCCGAGGGCTAATGACCTCCATAAATAAGGACCAAATTTTCTTTTCCCTTGGTGTTGTGACGGGAATGTTGTTTTCCCAAGAAAAATGCTTAGAAAAGTCACCACAAACCAAAACAAGATTCTGAGGGACCAAGCATTATGTGGTGCTTTTGGCTGCCGTCACAGACAAGAAGCGTCCCTCGGCTCACGGTGGCACACAATGGGCAACGTCTGGCCCGCACGCAGTTGCGCTCCCCGTCCTCCCAGTAACTTCACTGCAGCGAGTCCCGGATCCCTCCCCACACAGCACAACCCACCTTTGGCTGCTTGTTGCATCCCACCCTGAGACCTGGCAGCAGCACAGGCAGCCCCTGGTACACTTTGCTGCCAAATTCCTCCTCTGCTAGGAGCCGCGCTTTCCAGAGGCTCTTGCCTCTAGGCGAACGGCTTGTTCTCTCCCCCCCCCCCCAGCCAAGAGCTGCCAACCTGTGCCGGGCAGACCTGTGGTCTCCCAAGCGAGCAGGGCCAGCCACACGCAGGGAGCCCACGGAGGAGAAGCCCAGGGCAGTGCACAAAGCATCCTTGGTGGAGGGCAGGATCTGACCCAGCGGTTGAGCCCCTTTCCCTGGTGATGTGGCGAGAGGCAGGGAGTCACCTTGGAGCAGGAGGGAAGTGGAGCCCCTGTGCCAGGGCACGACAGGCCAGGCTGGGACACAGGGAGGTGGTGGAGCATACCTAGGTCTGGGAAACCTGTGCCTGGCATGGGCCAGACACCAGCCATGTCCCCAGCCTCTCGTTGGGATGCAGAAGGGTGTTGGGGTTTGGGTGCAATGCAAGGGCAGCCACAATGGCTCGGGGCTCCCAGGGGAGGGGGCAAGGCCACCCAGCCCTGGGCACCCAGGCACTGGTGTGACTGTTTCCCCTCCTCAAATCTCAGCACCCTCCCACCACTGCAAACAGTGTGCAAAGGAGCATGGAAAACACTCTGGAAGTGAGATGCCGTGGGAAAGGCAATACACTGCAGAGAAATCGCTGCAAGCCCCCAGGAGCAGAGGAAGACCGTCCCTCTTCCCCAGGGACACTCTGCCCTCAGCCAGCATCCAAAGCTCGTTTACAGCCATGACCGCAGCCTTGCCAGATGAACAGGGCTGGCTGCTGCACCGAGGGGACCTGGGTAGCTGGGAACGCTGCTCCGCACACACAGGGACATCACCAGGACCTCTGCCTCCCCCTGCCCCCCCCCCTTCCCCAACCCAGGAGGCCTGGCTGGTGTCTGACCTCCCCCCGTGTACATCTGGATGTGCGAGCGCACCCTGCACCCTCCTTTTTCAGGCTTCAGGGGCTCAGCGCAGGACTCGCCTACGACAGCTTCCAACAGACAATCCAAACTGGGATCACAGACACCAGCAAAGCACAAACAGGGGAAACCACCACATACACCCCCTGGAGAGAGCATCTCCTGTGTGCGGCCAAGATCTGGCTCAGCCACCCCTTTTGGCCCCCACAGTTTGGGGTGCTCATAGCCAGACCTCCCCTCACTTTGGAGCCGCTGGGGGTCAGCGCTGCTGCCCTGCAACAGGGCTGAAGGCCCTTCAAGAGGCCAAAGGAAAACCCATCTAATCAAGGGCCAGCAGCCTGAAGGGCACCCAGTCGGGCTCAGGGCAAGCACCCCAGCATCCCAAGTGCTCTGACCACCGCAGTCATGAAGCTCAAATAAAACTGGATCTCACTGGAGAGAGGTACCAATATTATCCCATCTCATTGCTTGTAACAGCCAACGAACACCCAAGCTGAGGCAATTAGAAACTGCTGTAACCCTGGAGTATTACAGCATCACTCAGCCCCACCAGCAAGGGGACTTAAACAAAAACCCAAATGAAATCCAAGTAACACACTACTCAGGTCTGACTAAGGATCTTCACAGAAAATGAAAGCCCAGGGTGGGGGGAGGGCAGGCTTTTTACAGTGGTCTGTAGTGACAGGACAAGGGGTAACGGGTTTAAATTGAAAGTGGGGAGGTTTAGATTAGATATCAGGAAGAAGTTCTTCACAGAGAGGGTGGTGAGGCACTGGAACAGGTTGCCCAGAGAAGCTGTGGATGCCCCATCCCTGGAAGTGTTCAAGGCCAGGCTGGATGAGGCTTTGAGCAACCTGGTCTAGTGGAAGGTGTCCCTGCCCATGGCAGGGGGTTGGAATTAGATGATCTTTAAGGTCCCTTCCAACCCAAACCATTCTATGATTCTGTGAAAATCCTGGTGAAGGAAAAGTGTCTTGAAATGAACCAAAACAGCCAACATTGTTAGCACAGGGCAATTCCGACCTTAGCTTGGATATTGCTTACTTAACACCCAAGAAAGCTGCTATTCAATTACAGCAGCTAACGAGGGGCACTGACAGGTCTCTCTCCAACAAAGCAAGCAGTAACTTTCAGTGCTCAGAAAAAACATGGCTTCATCCAGACAAAGAGGACCCCATCACAGAAGAAACCCCTGGCAGGCTGTGACCTGCTGCAGGCTGTGCCCTTCTTCCCCAGCGCCAAGAAAACCTGACCTGAGCAGCAGCTCCCTCTTTAGCATCAATCCTGCCAACCAGCCCAAACACATGGCACATCTCCGCAAGGATCAGTGTCAAACAGTCCCGGGTTTGTGTTAAGCCAGTGTTAAACAGCTCAGGGGTTCACGACACTGCTCCCCCTGCAAAATGGGGGAGAGAAACAAATGAGGCAACTCTGAGCCCTTCATTACTGGAGGAGAGCAAAGCACAGGTGGCAGGAGGTGCCTCCCCAGCTTTACGGGACAAATGCACCTTGTGACTTGGCAAAGCCAGGGAAAGAAACAGCCGAGGTCTTCTGTGCTTCCCTGCGGCACAGCCCAGCTGCCGAGGAAAATCCAAGCGCAAGCGAAGCGCAGGGAATCAGCCCAGTTCCAACCCAGCACACCAGGTTCTTCTCCCCTTCAGAGCAACCGCAGCTCCGGTGACGCCCGCTTCTGTTCCCACCACAAGGAAGTCATTATGCCACCGTTATCTAGGTCAACCAGTCAATTTTTAAAACACCGGGACCCATCTTGACCCATTTATTGCAAGCGGTTAAGAAGCCTCTCCCCCGCTGCTGCGCTGACAGCGTCGCTCATTCCCCTGCACTCACCTGGACCTCAAAGCATCTTCAGACACGACCCCAGATGAAGCCCTACCAGGGCTGAAAGCCCGCAGCCGC